GACATGATACTAGAAAGGATAGAGGGTCGGTGAAGGAGAGGAAGATGCTACACTAGGTGGATTGATTTGTTGACTGCAACAACAGGCTCTAGTGTGTCAGGAAGTGTGGCAGAATAGGGTTCAGATTTGTTGTTGGTTGCTATGAATCGTACTCGACTTGATGGTGCCTAACAACGACAACAATATATTTTACATAACTCTATCAGTTGCAGTTTGCTCAGCTCCTCAATCAACACTCTTGGCACCAGCATTGGAAAATCTGCTGTCAGGGATCTCTCCAGAGTATTGAGAAGCAATGATGTCAGTCTAGAGGCTAAGGTGCACCTGATCCAGGCCACAGTCTTTGTAATTACGTACTGTGCATCAGAGAGCTGGACAATGACTAAGGATGACAGAAGAATTGTTCCCTTTGAGTTGTGGTGCTGTAGAAGAGTCTTGAACATACCATGGATTGCCAAAAAAAAAAAAAAAAACAAACAAAAAAACAAAACACACCAAATAGATGTGTCTTGGAGAAGGTGAAACCAAGTTTCTCCTTGGAGGCATGTGGCCAGGTAGAACTGATTCTTGGAGAAGGACATCATGCTTGGAAGTGTGGAGGGACAGTATAGGAGAGGAAGACTCTGGATGAGATGGGTTGATACAGTAACTGGTACAGTGGTGGTAGGTGTGTTGGAGTCAAGAGAGGCTTCAGAGTTGTATATAGGGTTGCCATGAGTCATAGGCAACTCGACAGCACATAAACAATAACAATACCATCTATCTATCTGACTCTCATAGCTGACTCTCTAGTGGGTTTTCAGAGGCAATAAATCAAATGGGAGAAGGTTGCTTATCTTTCTCCCTCCACTCGTGAGTTCAAATTGTCTGTCTCTGGGGTAGCAGCACAACTCCTTACCATTACCAGAGCATTCTCTCTCTCTCTCTGATTTTTTTAAAGGGAAAATAATTTAATTAACCAGCCTCCATGTAATTAATGCAGTCTCAAGTCACCAGGACACAGCATCCCTCCCACCAACACCTTTAAACTCCTCAGCTCTTCTGCTGAAGAATTTGGCCTTCACAATGACTGGTTGCTTTGGGACGTTTCCCTTCCCCAAAGTGAACCCCATCAATGATGGGAGCAGCTCCAGTCTTTTTTGTGGCAGCATTTACCCCTGTCTGCTCACTAACCAAGGTCCATAATTTGTCAAGGTTGACAGTTTGGCAGAAGCTCTGATTCCTCTTCAGGTGGTAATATCTCATACCAACCTTTCCACAATAACCTGGATAGTATTTGTCAAAGTTGATTCTGTGGTGATGCAGCCACCAGCACTACCTTGGCCTCCATGGTGCTTCCGGTGCTTCCCGATGTGGCTGGAGCCATGGTGCACATGGCCCCTAAGTTTTTGAGTCTCCCTCAATCTTGATGGCATTTCATTTGCTTACATGAAAAAGAGAGCTATCTTTCTCTGTATACGGATGCATGCACTATAAATGTTGCTGGAATGAATTCATTGCTGAGCCTCCAGAGGATTTTCAGAGACAGTGCAGCACCTGGGGAGGAGATTGTTCCCTCAAAGCAGATGGTGGGCTCCAACCACATGCCTTTGTGATTGCAGCACAGTTTATTACAACTAGGTCATCAGAGCTCTCTTAGAAACATATAAGGATGCATTATACATTTATATATAAAATCATTACTGCTGTTGTGGGGGATCCCCATATTATCATTAGTTATCATAATACACATTGTATCAGTTATAACAAAGATGTAACAAAGATCCCACAGTAGATGAGTTTAACAAATGGAAACTAATTTAGAGACTGGAAGTCCAAAACCAGGGTACCGGCTAAAGCAAAAGACTGGATTTGGACGTTCAGCCTCCTAAATTAGTTTGCATTTGTTAAACTCATCCACGTGGGATCCAGTAGTTCCCCATCCCAGGAACCTGGATCCAAGGGATGTGCTCTTAGCACTGAGACCCCTCTCTTCTCTGCTTGTCTTTCCTTGTCTCTCTTGTGAGATGAAGATACTCCTATTTTGAGAGAGCTCTGATGGATTGGTGGTAACTGGTAGTGCCGCTAACCCAAAGTCACATAGTTCGAATCCCCTAGCTGATCTGATGGAGAAAAAAGGTCAGTCTCTTCCAGTGTGGTTTACAGTCCCTGAAAACTCCCAGAAGGGTCAGCTGAGTCAGTTCTGAGTCAGCACATAAAACATCAGGCCAGTAGGACACTAAGACAAGTCATTTGAGAAGCAGGACTTTATGAAGAATGTAGTATCAGGATTGGAAAAAGGCTCATCAACGGCCTTCATTATGCAGATTACACAGCCTTGCTTGCTGCAAGTGAGGAGGACTTGGAACACTTGTTGCAGAAAATCAAAGACTATCCATTGCATGACGATCCATGCAATATGGATTACACCTCAACATCAAGACAAAAGATCTTCACCACTGGGTCAATAGGCAAAATCATGATGGAAAAAAGTTTGACGTTGTCAATTATTTTATCTTGCTTGGATCTGTAATCAACCCCATCAGTGTCAGCAATTAAGAAATCAAAAGGTGTATTGCACTGGAAAAGTAATCTCCTGTCAATGACCTCTCCAAAATACTGAAGAACAATGATATAATATTAAAGATTAACATGCACCTGATTGAAGCCATGGTCTTTTAAATCATCTGCTATGCATCTAAGAGCTGGACAATGAATAGAAATGAGAGAAGAAAAATTGATGCCTTTGAGTTGTGGTTTTGGAGAAAGGGTGCTGAGTGTTTGTTCCATTAACCATGGTGAAAAGAACACACACATATGTGTAAGAGAAATATGTCTCTCCTTAGAGGTGAGAAAGGTGAAGCTTTGTCTCACTTATTTTGGCCATATTTTTAGGAGGGGAAAGTCCTTGTAGAGGAACATCATGCTTGGAAAGGTGGAAGGCCCATGAAAGAGAAGAAGGTCCTCAACAATATGGACTGACACAGTGTTTGCAGCAATGAGATCAAGAATATCAGAGAGGATGAAGATGGCAGAGAATCGGAAACCGTTCAGATCTGCTGTTCATAGAAGCTTTATGAACTGTGACTCAATAGCAATTAACAATAACAGCAACATACTTTTTAGTAGTAATTGTTCAGCACTAAGAATATTCTCATCTTCCATTTGTTCCTCCACCAAACTTCCTCATGCATAACCACCACTGGTCTGTCAGTGGAGGAGGTGTGTTTCTATGATAGGTTCCAACAGAGCTTTCCGACTAAGACAGGCTAGAAAGAGCCTGGGAAACTACTTTTGAAGATCAAACAATGAGAACCTTATGGACCACAATGCTCAGATGTGCAATGGGTGAAGGCAATGGCTTGGGACTGGTAGTATCATGTTCTATTGTGTGCAAGGTTCCCACAGTGAGGGGATGATTTCACAGCAACAAGATAGTTTAGGCCTAAGGAAATTGCTGAGGGATTGCTCAGTGTATGCAAGTTGAGTGGGGAGGACCTTGGCATCTATGAGTTGCAGATGGAGCTAGGTCTATTGCTACAGTCTATTGACCTGCACTGTGGGATCACAAACCTCCCACTACCTTGCTGGATCCTGGGGCACGGGGCTGTGGCCCACCTGGCCCTCCGTCCCAGCACTGTTCTTGTGTCTCCTGACCCTTTCCCTGGAGTCTTTCCTAGTGGTGTGGCCTCACTCTCAGCAGGCCTGGCCTTCTGGCCCCGTGTCTGCCGCTGACCCCCTGCTTATTCTCATGTCTGATCACAGTGACAGCTGGAGACGACTTGCCTGAGCACCCTGGTGGTCCTGCAGGACTCCCTGAGGATGAAGGGATTTCCCATGATAGCTGTGCTATATGGGTGGGTCCTGCCACAGATGGCTTGTGTTCCCTTATGCTCTGAACTTCAGGTACAGGAGACAGGACTTAGCTGGAGTTACTGGAGATGGGAAAGATTGGACACAGAGGTGAGTTGAGACAGACAGCAAAGTGGGCTCAGGCCCAGATCCCCGCACAAACAGAAGGCAGGGACACCAGTGACAGCGCTTGGATGGTGTTCACACCACAGCCAGAAAGTACTGTCAGGATTCTGAAAGCTGTGGGGCTCTCAGCCTCACCAGCAGGTCTTTCCAGCTAAAGAAACAGAAAAAAAAAAAAAATAAGAAACAGAAAACAGACCCGAGTAGTGGCAGAAGGGTCTCTGATTGATATAAAGGGTTGATGGCTTGGTTACTAACTGGAAGGTTGGCAGTGAACTCTGACAACCAGGTTATTTTTAGTACAAGCTCAGATAGAAGCTAGGTGGAAGAAATCAGTGAATGTGGTGGGGTCCTGGGGTGAGTGTGGAGCAGGCAGAAATCCGATCTTGGTTTCTCATAAATTTCTAGAAAGACTTTACTTTCATTTCCTACCGGTGGGGTTGATTGCACATTGATCAACTCTTTATTTCGTGATTTGATTTATGACAGCTGTTTTTGTTCCACCCAAGGCTTTGCCTCTGAGTTTAAGCCAAGAGATGTAGAGTTTCTGTGGGTGTTGCTCAAGCATGGAGGCCTCACAGGCTCTGGTTTTCCCATGGTGCACTGGGGTGGCCATTCTCAGAGCCTCAGGTCTGTGCTCATTGTCCCCTGAGCTGCTGGACACCTGAAGTGCAGCCAGGGCCTTCACCCTGACTGTCAGCGCCTTCGTTGATTTATAGAAATTTAGACCACTTTTTGCATAAACAGCCATGTCCAAAAGGTTTATTCTTGCTTTGTGAACACATCCCACTGACCAACCCCCCAGTGGCTTTTTATTAACTGTTAGTAACCCACCCACATAAATACATGTAATAAGTAAAAAACGAGAAAAGATGCTTTTTGTGGTTGTTCTTTGGTATATCCAGCTTTCTCCATTTTATTTACTCTCCTTCCCTGTTAAGCATCCTTCATCACATTCACATTATTTCCTGTCCAGAAGTAAACTAGGTGCTAGAACACTTGATTAACAATTTTGGGTCCTGGTGTCCCCCGGTAGCCCTCGGGGGCTATACATAGTCGTTCAGTCTGTACCCGCTGTACGAGGCGGAGGTCACAGAGGGAGCCCGGTTGTCCTTGTAGGCGGCAGGGGGCTGGCATGTGGACGCAGTGGCAGCCGTGGGGGCCCTGGTGGCCCGGGGCTGTGCCTGGTAGGGCCTGTAGGGCGCTTCATCCCGACAAGACAGGCAGAGCAGCGTGCCGCCGATGATGGAGAGGGACGAGGAAATGAAGCCGAGGTACAGGGCCTGCCCGATCTCGAACTTCATGCTACTGGGCGGCAGCAGTGGGTTATAGAAATTGGTCACCACGTCGTTGGTGGTCCAGGAGACAGCCACCATGCACAGAAGGCCGGCCAGGATGAAGAGGGCGCCCCCGAGGATGGCGAGGATGGTCTTGGCGCGCGTGCCCTTGGCACACCGGGTGCACTTCATTCCGACGATGGCGCAGGCGCAGGCAATGCCTGAGAGCAGGCAGGAGATGACCATGAGGGCGCGCGAGGCCTGCAGGTCCCGGGGCAGCGCCAGCAGCGAGCGGTAGATCTGGCACTGGTAGACGCCTGTGCTGTGCCACGCGCACTCCATCCACAGCCCCTTCAGGAAGGACACGGGCGTCATGATGTTGGTGCCCACGGGGGCAGTCCTGCGCCAGTGCGGCAGAATGGTGGTGATCAGTGTGCCCACCAGCCCCAGAGAGCTGAGCACGAAGCCCAGGAGCTGGACGGCGCTGCTGACCATGATCGCTGGCGGCCAGTCCCCAGGGCTCGGTGGCTGCACTCGCTCAGGCTCCTGCAGGAGTCCTAATAAAACCATGAGAGGTGGGAGCAGGGAGAGAAGGGAAATGAGTTAAATATTATCTCAACGCATTATTTCTGCCACTGAAACGGAGTTTTCCATAGGCAGTTAATATGACGATTAACTTTTTAAAAAAAGTTTCTGTGAATTTACTGGCTGAGTGACTAAGATTGTTTAGCTCTTGACCCCAGAAGCCAGAAGCAGAGGAATGAAGGAAAAAAATTCTATCTGCTCTTGCCCAGGACCTCAGAGAAAGGTGCTCTCTACAGCCCTACTTGCGAATGCTGTCAGCAATTGACAATGTATGGGAAGTTCTACCTTAGGTCTAACCACCATCACACTTGCCTCGTTGTTCTCATTTTATGTGATCAATAACCAATTGACACAGTTCATGTATAAGTGGACAAACACTGGTTTACAACTTAGAAAACAACTTACAGGTGCCTGTGAGTATGAATCTTTTCTGAAAGAGGGAGCCCTCCCTATATGCTCACGCTGTTCATGTTAGCTGCTCTTAAGCAGCTCCTGACTTAATGGCGACCCTATGAACAAAGGAGTGGATGCTGCCTGGCTCGGTACCAACCCCATAACTGGCTGTGCACTGGACTTTGAAAGGGTTTTCAGTGACTGATATTCCAAAGTCGATCATCAGGCCTTTCATCCTCATTTTTCTTAGCCTAGAAGCTTTGCTGAAACCTGGTCAATGTGACTGCAACACACAGGCCTCCACAGATGAATGGTAGCTGACCCCAAGTCTCCTTCCCAGAAGGCAAGGATTCTACCTGTTAAGCCAGGCAGGGAAGGCTGAATAGCCATGCAGGTCAGAACTCTAGAGCTCTGTGTGACTCTAATGCTCCACAGAATCCACCACTGCTCAGTGGGAGAAGGATAGGTAATCTTTCACTGCCTGAGAAAACTGGCAGTCTCCTCTGGTGCAATTTACTGCCTCTGAAAACTTGCTTGAGGGTCAGCTATAGGTCCATTCTGACTAGATAGCACACAACAGCAACATGTCACCTTAGGGAGTTTAGTAGCCTAGTGGTAAGCTGCACTGCAATCCCAAAGGTAGGCAGTTCAAACCCACCAGCTGCTCTGTGGTTAGAAGGGTGGGCAATTTCCTCCCATGTGATTTACTGTCTCTGAAAACCTGCTGAAGGGTCAGCTATGATTTGGTTCCGACTCAGCGTAACACAGTAACAACATGTGACCTTAGAGACTGCTTACCAGTGCTACAGGGGAGGAAGTAAGGTCACCAGCTCTTTAAGGTCTATGGCTATGACCACAAACCAGATTCTCTATTAGTTCTGTACCCAGAACTTCCCCTTCCTCTCCTCTACACTATTTCCCCAGCCATAGATTAATGACAACAGAGAGGTGAACTGGTTATACAACAGTGCTGACAGCTGCCTTTGAGGAATACAGGAATCAGAACCATTTCAGAAGGTTTTAAAAAATTTCTAACCATAGCAAAATTCATAACATGTCTTAGGAGTGTATGGTGGATATTTGTGTATATATGTATAGTATATGCATATGCATATATGTACAGTGTAGTATATGGTGAATGTTTGGTTGTTTTTCTAATTAAGCCTCTTATTTAGAGTCAACATGACATCATAGAGCACCTTTGTATTTAAGGCTGGGGCCTTATCTCCAATTTGCAGACTTGGACTCTGAAAGGTGGCTCTCTTGTCATTGGTTGAAGATTGGAATAGAATGTTTGGTTGTTTTTCCTGTTTAAGCCTCTTGTTTAGAGTCAACATAACCTCCTGGAGGGTCCTTTGTTTTTAAAAGTTGTTTGGGCCCCTGATGGCCACACACCTTCAGGCCCCTAGGTCTAGTGTTGGTATATTTTGGAGGGACATTCTTCTAAGTGGTTTGGCACTAGTCAGTTTGCTGTATTGAGGTAACCTCAGGTTGCTGTGATGCTGAACCCTGTACCACTGGTGTGTCAAATGCTGTAATGGTTACCCATGGTGGACAGTAGTTGGTGGAGCTTCCAGTTTAAGACAAGTTTGGAAACAGGAGTGGTATCCACTTCCTAAACAACATGACTTTGGAAACTGTGAACTTACAGAAACAACTATAGTTACCAAAAGGGTTCGTGCTCGACAGCAATCAACAACAAGAACAACAACACACTTCTAGGCATAAAGAACATTAAAGAAACATTTCCAGATACACTAAAAATATCTTTAATATAATAATAGAGTAATTATAATAATATTATACTTATTATAATAAAATAAATTATGCAAGATACAGTATTTATAATAATAATGTTCTAATTTTGAAAATCAATGTCTGCTTGTTATTATGAACCATTGTATGGACTTAGAATTTTTAATACATAATTTACATGTGTTAGTTCCTAACCACTGATTGTGCATAAATTAGATGTTCATACCCCAGGTATTGCCTGAATCAGAAATAATATTTTATAGCTCTTTACTCCTGCTGAGAATGGATAAACAACAACAACAAAAAAATAAAAACAATACTCCTGTTCCTTGTTGCAGTCCCCGGGAGTTTGTTTACAAATGGTTAAATTCTTGGCTGCTAACCCAAAGGCTGGGAGTTCAAACCTACCCAGAGGTACTGCTGGAGACACACTTCTGGAAGGCCAGAGTCACATAAAAACCTCATGGACCACAATTTTACTCTACACTTCTGCCGTAAATCATAATCTGCCATAAATTAGAATCTCTCAGAAGGTGACTGGTTTGGTCTTTGGTTTGGTCCTTGTTCTGATGCTGCCCTCACTCTCTGACAAGAGGTCGCTCAAGAGCCCAGCATCTTCCTCTTCATGTGAAGGGAGTTGGGCCCTGATGGCCCACAGGTATCTTCCGGCCCTAAGGACAAAAAAGGGAGCTCCTCTGTTCCTCTGCTGTGTCACTCCATATACAAAAATGACAGAGAATCTATCAGTGGACATTGCTACAGGGATGTCTAGGAGAGGCTGCAGGCTCAGTTCCAGACCACTGAAACGTTGTCCTCGTTAGGTGCCATCAATCATCAAGTAGCGGCCTGATGAACACAAATCTGAACCTTGCCCTATTCTGCTCCTTCTTCACAGTCTCGGCCATGCTCAAGCCCGTGGTAAGTCATGGTGTGGGTCCTTTTGGTTGAGGGTCTTCCTCTCTTTTTCAAACCCTCCACCTTTGTGAGCATGATACCTTTCTCTAAGCACTGGCCCTTCCTGACAACATGCACAAAGTATGTGAGACAAAGTGACAACTGACATGTAGTACATAAAGCAATAAAGTAAGTGACCTAAATGTTCTGGCTTCTCAGTGCATATGAAAGCTAAGTTGATGCTACACTGTAGTCTAGCAAATGCTCTATAGCTTTATGGAGAAGTCTGAAATATTATAGAATTACCAAAATATGACAGAGAGGTACAAAGTGAACACAAGCTGTTGAAAAAGTGGTGCTGTTAGACTTACTCAATGCAAAGTTGCCACAAACCTTCACTGTTGTTATTGTTATTATGTGCCGTCCAGTTGTTTGCAACAACAGCTCTGAACCCTGTTCTATCCTAAGCCAACCTTATTGTCTCTGACACAGCTACCCCAACTACCTCAGTGACTGAATCAATCCATCTCATCAAGGGTCTTCCTCTCTTGCCCTGTCCCTCCACCCTTCCAAGCATGACATCCCTCTCCAAAGACTGGTCCCTCCTTGCAACATGCCCAAAGTATGTCAGATGAGCTTCAGAATCCTTGCCTCCAAGGAGCATTCTGGTTTCACTCTCTCCTTGACAAACCTGTTTGTTCTCCTAGCAGTCCATGGTATATTCAATACTCTTACAGCACCACAGTTCAAAGGTATCAATTCTCCTTCTATCATCCCTAGTAATTTTCTAGCTTTCTGATGCATAGCACGTAATTGCGAAGGCACTGGCCTGAATCAGGTGCACAACTTAGTCTCAAGATTGACCTTGTTGTTCTTTAGTACTCTGGAGAGGTCCCTGACAGCAAACTTTCCCAATGCAATTTGTCTTGATTTCTTGGTGGCTTGTACCAAGAGTATTGATTGTGGAGCCAAGCAAATAGAAGCTGTTAACAATCTCATCTCTTCATCATCTGTCATGATACTGCCTATTGGTTCAGTGGTGAGAATTTTTGTTTTCTTGATGTTGAGCTTCAATCCATTTTGAAGGCTTCAGTCCTTGACTTTCTGCAGAAAATGCCTCAGACCTTCCTCAGTTTTGGCAAGCAAAGTTGTGTCATCTGCATAATGCAGGTTGTTGATGAGCCTTTCTCCAATCCTGATGCCACATTTCTCTTCATAGAGCCCAGCCTCCCAGATGATCTGTTTCTCATATAGATTGAAAAGGTATGGAGATACGACACATCCCTGGCGTACATGTTTCCTGATTTTGAACCATGCAGTGTCTTCCTGCTCTATTCTGACGACTGCCTCCTGATCCAAATATAGGTTTTGCATTAACACAATCAAGTGTTCTGCGATTCCCACTATTCTCACAGTTAGACACAGTTTGTTCCACAAAGCATTATACAGTGAGGTGTGCCCGAAACTCTTTCCACACAGCAGAGTACCATTGCCTTTGGCAAATGAAGGATGCTGGAGTAAAAGAGCAAGTACTTAGCTGGCAGTTAGCAGCCTGTCTCCACAGCAACACAGATGCTTACTGTGAGCTGCCTTGGGGATCCCCCAGGCCTTCTTGTCTTTAATCCCAGCACATTATTAAGAAATCCCCAAAAATAATAAAATAAAAAAAAAATTAGCAAGTTTTCACAGAAAAAAAAAAAAGAACAACAACAACAAAAAAATCCCCTGTCAGATGTAAATCACAAGGAAGGATTTGGCTCTTAACCAGTAACTGACACTTCCACTGGTGCTTCTTCCTTTCATTCTGCCCAAGTTTGAACAGCATTGTAGGAGTTGTCCTTAGTTCTCTCCAAATGGGATTGTAGCAA